GTTCCTCTCTAGTCAATTTTTATTCTTTTTTTATACATTGTATGTACTAAAGTTAACTTCAAAGTTTCTTTCTTTAATACTTTAATAATGTAGATTTCGTTTGAAAAAAAAACTAAAGGCTGTCGATATAGATTATAAGGTACTTATGTGAATTTCGCAAAAAGTGTGTTTAAATTCCTATTATTTTTTTGTTCGAATTTTGTAAATAAATCTCCTAAATTGAAGTTACTGGACTATGATTTTTCTTTGTGTGTCGTCGTTGATGCATGATTGTGATGATTGGATATAGGGTTTTTGTAATCGTAAATTTAATGTTAAAAAACATATGAAAATAATTGTTTTTTGGTGGCAATAAATCAATGTCTTCTAGCGTCTGATGCTTCGTGAAAATTTCAACACACTTTTTATCACTGTGAATATTCGGTAATTGAGATTTAAGTAGTAAAAATAGCGAAATTTTACCGATATACTTGCGCGATTTCTTATTTATTGAATTAATTTAAGTATTTATTTTAAATTTTCCAATTTATAACAGCAATATTCGCAGTGATTGATTTATTTATACTCAATTTTTTATGATATAAATAAATTTTATTGTATATACGACTTATATACTATTACTAGTCTTTAAAAATGCTATTAGTTGTAAGGAAATCCGACGTGAAACCATTTCTACTTAGTGAAATTATAGTGTTATTAAAAACTTATTTATTAAATAAATGTTAAGAAATAAATTTCGAAACGAGAATGCAGCGGAATAGTTTTCAAATTTACAAAATTAATTACAAATTAAATGTCTTTTCCTCTGCATTTGAATGTTTTAAATTCACCCTTTAAATATTACCTATATCAAAAAATAAGAACGAAAGCGACAAGAACTGGCAAATACAGGGTAGGATGTTTATTCACGTAACGATTTATTTTTTGTGGATAAACTCTCGTTCTCTATCGGCTCTCGAAACAGGAGATAAAAAAAATGTACTTCTAGAAGGCCTACAACAAGTTTATTATAAATGTAAGGAAGAAAATATACCTAAATAATGATAATTTTGTTTCATTTCCGTCCATTTTCACCCAACAAAGGAGCCCGATTTAATATATTTTTTATTACGCTATACGTGTATAAGAGAAGAACGACCTCTCGCTTTAATAAACTATAATCGAATTTCTAGAAGAGTCTAAGCTCCGCTGTAAGTACTTTAGAATGAGAGAAAAATCGCACGTGATCGGGATAGAAATATGAGTTTAAAGCCAGGCTCGCTGGATATATTGTTGTCGGGGAACTGGCACTTTCCCGGTACAAATCGAATCAATTTATAACTAATTACCATTTCGTTTTAATCGTGTTAGAATACGAATGATTAGTGAAAAATATTTATTTAGAAGAATTTTGTGTAAATATAAATTGGGTTAATATAGTTATTCGTTTAGGAAAATCCCTTTTAGAACCCAGTTCCTGAACTATAATGTATTCCGCGAATGCCGCTGAATCGGGTAAGACATTTCTTTTTCGATTTCCTTCAATGAGTGTTGAGAACTCCCGGTTGCCGTCACCGTTTCGCCGATTTCTTTTGAAAAGTACGTTTTATTCGGGAATATTTCCGATATTTCCGCCTATTTTCCGCGGAGAAATCGCCGGGGATTTCCGGACAAGCTTCCTGCATTCGCCGCCAAAATTCCGCGTCTATCGCACGCCAATAATTACAATACAGGTTAACTTTCCGCGCGTTTCTGTAATAAATTCGCGGAAAAAACATTCTCGTTCGAGGGCTTGCGAATGCGTGTACAAAAACCGTACCTTTGGGGTTAAAATAAAGCCCCACGCTCGACTTTATTTCGCCAAATGACGTACTCAGTGTCACACATAATGGATCCGTATAAAACATCGACCTCTTATTTTTCCCCTTGCTTTAGAGCCTCGTTTTAATTTACTCCGGCGTTTCCCACGCTTTACATAAAAAAATACACGCGGTAGAACGCAAAATGGAAGCGCTGTAATGATAATGTCGGTGGAAAATTTCCTAGGTGAAATTATTTAAAGGATACGCCATTGATGCTATTAAACGAATACAGCCGCATCTCGACCGAATAAAATATATAGCTTCCTCTCTCGCTGTGGCTTTAGCTGGGGAAAGGAAATTTATTAGTATTGATACCGGGTATCATTTTCGTACCGGAGTCAAAATTTCATGATAATAGATTATCACGAGGTTTCCTTATACCGGGACCTTCCGCCATTGATAAAATTACGGCGAAATAAATCCGGCAATTTATTTTACTATTCCTCGTATAAGAAATCTACAAAATTTATGAACACGTTCCAACGTTTTAAGTTCTTATCATCGTGGGGTATACTATATCTAAGATACAATGTTATTATAATGCACAATGGAATATTTGCTCAACATTAAGGAGTAATCCGTTATGGCATAAGTAAATAGTGTTGTTATGCAATGCAAATATGGAATACATATCCGGAATAATTGCAATTCCATAGTCTATTACTTGATCATTTCTCCTATAACAGAACAACAACCATCTGAACTACCATCGATTCCAGATACAACCGTAACCTCCTAATATGTTATAGGTTCTGGAGTAGGCTTGAAATTCAGTAATTTACGCGCGATTCGATATAAGTTCGGTACTTTTAAAATTGGACTGTTAATTAACCTAAAATCGGGATAATTACGCGAACTCTGTACCCCTCTTCGCTTTGACTGGAATCTGGAATGCGTTATTTTTGCTTCAAAGAGACTGGCGTCCCGTAAATAATAGAGATTCGCCGAGCGCAAGTTTAGTACATTCGTGCGAGTACGAACCGCAAACGTAAATATTTGAAGGACCTTCTCCAGTGCAAAAGGGAAAAATAGAAGGTACCAGTATCGCGGAATAGTATAATAAATAAAAGAAGAGTTTACCGCACTTACCTTCATCTCGCTTTACATCGTGTTCGTTCAGCGTTATTTCCAGTCCCGATTTTCGGCTTTTAATCCGAGAAAACGAATTGAAAATGATAATAATCCCGATCGATTCGATATTTCCGACGAAATGCGAACGCATAAAGGAAGCGGCGTGAAATACAGGGTGGCACAATAGTATGAAAAAGCTCAATATATCGTACCTATCTGTTAGTTCAGATAACATCACAAAACCGTCTTTACAAAAATTTTACATAGTTTCATGCTGCATATTGTGTAATTGGTTATATTTATACAGGATATTCCATTTTGCCGTGGTAGATCAAGCATATATACTTTTTTAAATAGAGCACCCTGTCTTTTATTCAAAAATAAAATTGGCTAGTCTTCAAGTCGCCAGAAATATAATATCGTATAATGACATACAAAGTGGCTTAAAAGTAACAACTTTTTCATGAAAATCGTACCTACTAAGTTTAACACTCTGTAGAAACTAAATGGATTAAATTGTAAACAATATTTAACATTGCAAATATCATGAATGTGTACAAAATAAATATATTTTGTAAATTTTACTCATATTTCATACAGGGAAAGTCCAACCATGAAAGTAAGATTTTCTCTATTATTTTAAATGGATAATCTTATATTTTATACCACTAATACTAAGATGTGTTTTTGAAATGCTTCCATTTTTATTATACATTCCTTATACCTAAATTTAATATTTTTCGAGCAAAAACGATTAAAATGAAACAAACTTAGTCAATAATAGCTAGGTACTAGATAGATAAATAAAATCTTAACATTAATACACAAGAAATATCTCGTCAACAAGAAACTGTCCGTAAATCACTTCAAAGAATATTGAAATATTGCAATAACAATATCTTGGTTTCAAAATAACTGGCGATTACCAAAATTACCAATATCTGACCAGAGATTACCCCGAGAGCATACAGCAGTAGATATTTATACACCTTGTTCCTGCACCATTTCTTCTAAAATAGAAAAATGAGTCAATACCAGTTATTTTGGAACCAGGGTATAAGAAAGTAGATATTACTTTTATCTATACAGAACATTTAATAAGCTTAATGAAAACAATTTATCTGGGTGTTCATTTAAAAAGTACAAATTTGGTACAAAAACAAAAACGGAACACTCCATATCCAACTTTAGTTAAGAAGTTTTTTTTGAAACTATCTACAGTAACAGATATATTGAGTTTTCCCATACTAATGTGCCACCCTGTATATCACACAGCTTGCTGATCTAGACATTTTTAAGATGTCTGTGTAAAAACTTTACCGTCCATCCCAAAAAAACTTGCCAATAAGAAACGATCCCGTCGGGGCTTTTATTTTAAAGTTCGCCATAACTCCACGCTAAAATGTAATAATTCATTCATTCGTTTCGCAATACAAATGAACCAGCCCGGATTAAGTCCCCCGTTTCTTTATCGGCCACGTCTATCGAATGAAAAAGAATGGTAATTTTGACGAAATGGATACTTTTTTCTAGCTCGACAGCTCCGAAGTGGATACAAAGAGCGCACCGTACCGTCTCCGTCGCCTTAATCGCAATGGAATATTCCGTTTCTAATAAACTTCGGGTAATAATTTATGAAGAGAGAGCAAATTTGCGAAATTTTCGACAGCGAACGAGCTCGGAAATTCCGCCGGAAAGCTTCCCGAAATAAAATTTCCCGAGCGGGGTCCTTTCGCTTTACAGCTGACCTGCGAGCCGGCTGTACAAAGGTCGCTGTCTATACATCTAATAAAATATTTAGGGATGATTTTTGAGCGTCTTGACTTCGCCGGCCGGGGCATTTTATTTTGGATAATATTTTTTCGAGCTTGGCCCGGAAAATCGCCTACCAGCTTTGGAATTTTTCCACAACGGAATGTTTTATTAAACAATTTCATACGCATACTTACGATAATTTGGTATCGCCAATTTTAAAGTTAAAAATACTGAGGGTTTTTATTCGATATAATTCTACAGCGTCAAAAAAAAATAATGTCATATTCTATATACCTAAAGCATTAAATAATGGAATTTGGCATATCCCGACCGCTGAAACCGTAACCGCATTTAATAGAGCTTCGTTATCCTGCCAGCTGCAACTGTCGGGATGACGCGCCCTTCGTATTCGGAGACATATTTCGAAATAAAATTTCAATACCGTACGGCGTTATTTCGAAATTTGCGGGATTCGATTTTCTTCCTGAAAAGACGAAATTTATTTTTAAATCGATAAATATGCACTTGCAATATATTACATATTTCATATAGATAGTAATTCTGTGTTATGACAAGCAGTACTTGTTATAAAAAAATTTCCTCCATAGGAAAACATTGGAAAAACGATAATTCTATTATTTATATTTATAATGCTTTAATGGATTATAAACATTGTCACGCAATAATTTTCAAGTAGATTTTTTGTAATAGAGTCCAATTTGTAAACTTGGCCAATTTAAGTCGAAGCGCTATTATGAATATCGATGTAATAATGCCCTTTAACGATTAGAGAACGCTCCTAACAAACTCCACAACTTTGTTCATTTCGGTAAATTAGAATTTGACCCGCCGCAATGCATTATAATGAAAAGTTCACGGAGTTTCCTCACTGGAATCCACTGACGGATATTTTCGACCTTCTTGCGGAAAATTCAATTCGATCAACGACAATGAGCACTTAGCCGGGGAACGTTCGATTCCCGTCCGGGCGTTTGGTTGTTTCAAGGGAATTTATGTGCCTAAACTGCCGGCGATATCTATTATCTAATGCTGGAAAATTTCCTCCTTTCACCTCGTCATTTGGCAATATTTATTTGCACAATTTATTTCAACGACGCCGACGGAGATATTTAATTGAATTTATATACAGTGTGGAATATCCAAATGGAATAAATTCATTATTTCGGTTACTGTACCTACTTATTTAGGTATAGGAAAATGTGGTCCCTACCTTCAACAGTTACAACCCTTAATTTTTTAAATGGGAAGTATAAGCTTGTGATATATCGCTTAAAAGGTCTCTTCATTCTCTAACCAAAATGTTGTGTTCAAGTTTATTTTAAAAATTAATATTAAACAATAAAATCTTATGAAATAAAAAAAATATTTTATTAAATATTTAAAAGTCTGTTACTTTCCAGACATCCCACGATACTACAGGAATGTTTAAAAAAGAGACTGATGTATAATATTCTGAATTGAGAGTCGCGGTAAATATTAAGTGGTTAATTAAAAACTACATAGAAAAATCCGGCCTTATTCTCGAAACTTTTAAAGCTCGTCGCAAAAATTAAAATCATAAAAACGGTTCGTTAAAGTAACGGCGTTAAAATCGAGTTGCATCGTGCGCCTGTATTAAAAAAGTTTCCCAACGGTAACTGAAATGTTCCGGCATCCGGAATTTATAAGCAGAAACTTTTCGCCCACGGATATATGAGAGGTTTCATCGCAAATTTTATATGGAAAATTGTACAGTGTCTACAATTAAAATAATTAATTTTAAGTGCGACTAACAATACACCTGGTTGTGATCAGTTCGAAACGGATATCGAAATAATTAACGAACGCCCGGATCGAATACTGCTGAAAATTAATTAACAACGATGTTACCGGCGCTAGAAAATTGTTGGTATTTGCTCTGTTGAACGAGGCAAGTTTCATTATTTGTATTTACCTCGCAAATTGCGATATTGTCGGCAAATTCAAACAGCTGATTTCGACTGATACGGTTATTGGCAGTATCCAAATAAGCCTATTTAAAAAAAATAGCAGAAAAAGCGCATACCCATCCATTATGGAAATAATTTGCTACAATTTACAAATAAATAGAGTGGAATGGGAAACGCACAATTTTATTAATTATCTATTGTATACAATTATTTGGTTAAATAGAGCTGAAAACAATTATGTATTCATTATACACGTACAGGATTTCAAAAAACAGATTTTTTCGAGTATACAATTAATTATCTTCCTTCTCTAATGACTTTAGAATATTACCACAAATTCCCTTGTTCTAGTCAATTACAAGTAGACAAATAATCATGCATAACAATACCGAGACGAGTAAACAAGATGTAATTTCATTAAAAAACATCGTTTATTATGTTTTTTAATTTGTGCAACTTCTGGCTTCGCGTCCTAATCGGTTTAGAAGCAATTTTTAATTCTACTTAAGCGACCAGAAATTCTTCCGGCGGCGCTCGCAAGACCACTCCAACCGACGTTCGCCGTCTAATTACAGCTCTAATTGTTCATTAATTTTTAATTAAGCCCTCTCGATTATTCGATTCGTTGATGCACCGCGGAAATTCCGCTTCGACTCTCAAAGAAAAACGCATTATCTAGTTCAGCTGCAATTTCACTGTAAAATGTTTACGTTTTAAATTTTGAGTTTGGAATCGTTACTGTACAACTCGCGCCATTAAGCTGAAAACATTAAGTATATCCTAGTAGGATAATGTAAATTTATGTAATTTTAAACATAGTCTATTCACTGAACTTACGCGGGTTTCGGATTAAAAGATTTATGTTTATTGGCAATGAGAGTAGATGGTGAGTTTCTCTCAGAATTCAGGTTAATTGCACTAAATGGGTTGATTATCCTTTTATAACATTTAAATGAAGATGTTATAAGAAATTATCTATTTCTACCATAAGTACTATTAATTAGTTCAGTTGAATTTTAGGCTTTGTAGCATTAACAATGGAGTACAATTCAAATAAATGCGGATTATTTTCATTTTTATTCATAATTAGTTTGAAATACATAAATTTACCCAAGAAACAGGTCAAATTTTGATGGAATTTGAAGTGAATTTATACAAAACCCCCATAAGTATAGTAAATGGACTACAGGTGACGTTATGATAACATATTTCACAGATTTTAACTACATCACTCTGTATGTTTTAATGGCATTGGAAAATGTTGATTGAACTATATTGTATTAGAAATGTGCGCTTTAGAAATCGATGGCAATTACTTCGGAAAGAACGCCGAGAAGAATGGAAAAAACCTCTTTATCTCGAATTAAAACTTGCGGAAAGTTTTCCTTACGGGGCGGAAAATTCGAAAATGCCATCTGGAATTTCCGGGCGGCTACTTATTTTTATTGCGGGACATTAAAAGTTTTTCGGGAAAAAATCTCGTCCCCGATGCGAATTCAAATGTTTCCCTTTATTAGGTTATAGTTATTCGAGCGCGAGATTTCTCAGGTTACCATCGAATAGGATTTAAGTCCCATTTCACCCTCAATAGGTCACTAGAATAGGTAAACCTATACCTATACTAATTTCTAATTTTCTAATGGATTAACGCGAATTTATTGCGTATAATTTGCATAATATTCATTAGAGATTAATTAAGCGTAGATGGGTTGTGTAAATTTAGGGAATTTGTTTTGGTAACGTTGTATATTTAACGTTAAACCCCTATCAATATGTAAATGCATTGTTGCCAGATGTTGTGTTTTCTACTTAAAGTTCGCTTCTTAGGGTGTTATTTTTTATTGTTTAAAGTCGTCTTTTAATCTACTGCAAAATAACCCTATAGAATGTACAGATTCAATCGAATCATCGGCCGGTCGTTTTTGGAAATTGTACGTCAACGCAATTACTTTAATGGGCCCTTTCTGATCTTCCTGATCCGGCGTGTCTGAATGACATAGGGGCTATACGTGAGCTGATTCCGCATCGGCCGCGGTTCGTCCACAAAAACCCCGTTCGTGTCGAAGGTTTTTCATTTTGTACACAAATGGATGATAACGCGAATGCGGAAGGATAGTTTTTCTTCCGTTATATAAAAATTCCGATGGGACGATGATGAAATCACGAATTTACGAGGGATGTTTTCTGGGAGTTCTGGGAATTGTGCTCCAATTTAATCACGCAGAACTTATAGGTAATGTGATATATCTTTAAATGAAATTATCGACTCAAAATTAGCCCAAGGATTACTCTTTAAATAAAGTGTATAACATTACCACCCTGTATAAGTGCTTTTACAACTAGCTGGTGTGTGTTTGTTTTTTTTTAATCTCGACACAAACACGGATATAAAGCGCTCAAACGAGCAAAAAACGGGGCATTTCTGCGCCGTAGTTTGTGTTATTCCGTAACATATTATAGAGCTTACCTGCATTTTTATACCTTCGGCAGCTGCGGTGCATTATTGATTACAAAAGCTTCGGTTTCCAGAAGTTGGAGCGTGCAGAATCCTAATTCCGCCGACAAAGGTGCAATCCCACGAGGTAGCGTTCCTCGCAATGAACCCAAACGAATAGGAATAATGTTTAGATAGATAAATTATTCAATTTTTCACTCGAGTTTTATGTATTTATCCACCGGAGGTTTATTATTGTTTAAACATGTACGAGCATTTCATTTTCGTAAGTTCGTTTAAAGATGAGAGATTGCGTAATTGCGAAAGCTTGTTAGAAAACTTCATAGAGAATATTTTAGGCGAGTTTAATTTTGATATCTGAATATAATTTACGTAATGTCATTCATAACAGTAAAAGTCGTTTAATGTAAACATTAAAATTAATTTGGAATATTTTCATTTCCGTTCATTTTGAATTTAAATTTTCAATTTCGTTACGTAATGCGCTTTCGGTAATTACCCAACATGTCGAACGGTAAACAAGAAGGAGAAAATATCATTTTCCTAGTATTTAGAGAAATCCAATTTTGCGCTCTTTGACTCGGAAAATTCAGCTCGGCTATATAAAATTTTTGATGCTTAACTCGAAACGCTATTTGTTCTCGGGAGTCAAATTTAATAAAAATCATAATGTAGAATGTTTAGAGGAAAAGTAGAACCGGAGAAATATGTATTAGTAATGAAATTCCTCAATCGACTACGTTTCCCGAGTTTTCCGGTGAACTCGAACAAACGGAAACGCTACACTTAAAGGGTGTCGATTTACTCGGTATTCGTTAAAGTTTATAGGAGAAATGGAAATGTGAAGTTCAAAGGATATTGAAAAACCACGCATATAAAAATCATTGGGAACCTTATATTTTGCTATAAGATTTTTTATAACTATTGTAAATCGGGTGTCCCAAAAGTATAAATTATTATGTTTTTATTGGTTTAGAAAGCAAGCACATGGAGGTTACATTTGATATAAAACCTTTGATAATTAACCACCCTTATCTTTGGAGCTCATATTTACCCTTTTTACCTATAATTGCGATGAAATATTCGCAAATTGGTAGCAAATTTCATCTAACATTTTCAATTATTTCAGTTTTATTGATAAAAACATTCTAAATGTTAAAATAACGTTAGAGAAGATATCTAATAGTGTCAAATCCCATGATTTTGGTGGCCAATTGACATCACCTCCTTTAGAGTTAACAGGATCATTAATATTTCTTACAATAACAAAGGAAATATGACACCAAATAAATATTTCTACGCTAAGTTTTGCGCAGAAAAAATGGTATAACTGCCAGTTACTTTAGAATAAAATAGATAAGTGGAACTTATCCTACAGATAAGTGGAAATTTGTACATAATGTGGTCAATGCATGGGTGCAACAAAGACAACTTCATTATTCTCGTATGAAGAATAAAGAAATCATAGAAATAAACCGTTATTTTAATAATCTTTCCTTGTTCAACTCATAGAATTGTCCATATTGAAAACGTATTTGGACTTGTACCATATTTGTTTGGTGCATAAGTGATCTGTGTTCAAATCAGCCTTTTCGATTATATGTGAAGTTGTTCTCAAATCATTTTGTCTTCTCGCTTCATGTTCATCGTGGAAGAATGAATTTCTCGGGAATTTGTATTATAGGGACGCCCTATACAAACACTTTCCGCAACATCTCGTATACCTGAAGCTGAAATATAAAATTGCCTTTCCACGGCATTATCGTTCATTTAGTGACCGCTCATCAATCACGACTTCATTCCGAAGCCGAACCGCCAAGGACGGTCGAGTGTTCTGTTTTCCAGTTTCTTTTTCTCCACTACTTATCCAATCTGTTTTTCGATGAACGAAAAACCGCCTCATCAATTATACCGCTCGACGTGTACCGATAAAAAGCCGTCGGTTAAAAAGGAAAATCTCGGCGTTTATCAACTATGAAAAGCGAAAAAATAATGCCGTATATTCGCACAAAATATCCTCGGGATTGACTCAACAATGCGGGAAGATCAAGAAAATAGTGGTCTTATACAAGTCGTGCTAACAATTAGAACGATAGGAATTTCAACAGGAAGATCACCTGAGTACGCGATGATCGATTAAACCGAAAGTCCCAATTCCGCACTTTCCCATCAAAGGCAACTCCCGACCGCATTTTAATTCGAGCCTCGCTCGCGTCACGGATATCTTTAAGCTGGTACAGCTTCCTAGCAAAACTTGATTAAATCGTATAAATCTCGTGTAACACAACCGAGCGTCTGGTGACGCGTCGTGCTCTCCCAATTTCGGTTGTATATCAAGGGAATCCGAATACAACAGGAGGTGTTACCGACGTGTGCCAACCAGTTGTTCGCGATATTTTACTTGAATCGCGCTCCACGATAAATCTCCATTTGGACGGTGAGTTCTTATTAAAATTAAAATTTCAACAATAGGACCCGGCGCGTTATTGCACCTTCTTGTATTGTCTACCGTTTAATTTATCACCGGTTAAGGTTAGAGTTAAGTTTATTTTAATAATAAACCATAAGTTTCTTTAATCTACATCAGAGAGCAACAATCAACATTTCGTTTATTCTTCATTTTCATTTAAATTCTCTAAAACCACTACTACTTTTTACATTTCTTTCCAAGCTAATAAACTATTTGAAACTTGGAAAATATAAACAAACTTATCCAAAACTGCAATATAACAGTAAAACTTAGTCCATCAATTTTTTTGGTAAATTGTGGACTATTTATAAACAATTTTCATACAATCCAACGCTGAATTAATCAACTAAAATTTATATCGGTGAATATTCTGAATGATAAAAATTCAAATTAATTGCCTACTTAGGCCGACCATACTTCTTGTCGTTGAAGGGCTAATTTTAAACGAAAAAAACCTCATTTTCGTCCCTGCAAAAAATTTATCGGGGAGATTAGGCCCCGAGTAAAATGGCATTAAAGGGGCTTTGTGCGAGCATAATCGCACTGCTCGGTTTCCATTGCACATATTATACCCAAGAATACGGGCAATAACATTCCGGCGCGTAATATCTCCCATAAATCCGTCGATACTTCATAATGTGATAACTTTTTTCGCTCGGAAATGAAGATGATGAACGATAAGGATTGGATTTTGCTTCGGTCGACTTGCAGGGGTGGTGAATTAAGAAAAATCCCGAGACTTTTCCATACGGTTAAATTTAATGTAGGCAATCTTTAATTCCACACCTCAAGTCGATTCGTTTTAATATTCTTCGGAGTAAGATAAAATGTTATTCGCTGTAACAAGTACATCGTTCTCGATTTTATCTCGAGAACATTTTAATAGATACCGTAAACAGAACATAACTGATGAGTCTCGTTATCCTCCACTTTTTTGCTCCACTCTATCCCGAAGTGTGTTTACACGGGACGCTCGCGTAAGTACCCGGCTCGCGAAAGGGCGCGTAGGAGTAAGGACGCGAATTATGCCAAAGCAAATAGGTCCCCGCTATTGAATAACGGACGTCTTAAATTCTTCTTTGCGTTTGTACAGGCTCGCGCCGCAATCCTCGGGATACGATGAGGACTTTCGGAGCAAATTTGTATTGTAGTAATTTCGATTTTCCTCGTCTTATTCTTCCTTTTACGTGGATGGTTTCTTCTGGTTGTTCGTCGATAACAGGAAAGTCAACAGGATTAAATGGAAATTTTAGTAAATTTTAAAATCTCACTTTTTAACGAAAATTATGACAATAAACTATGTTAAGAATAGAGTCTTGTACAGGTATAGACTTGTAGAAGATACTATACAGTTTGATTATTTTTTCTCTATTATTCTTGAGAGGAGATTAAACTTGTATCGTCAAAGTTATCTTTATCAGGCAAAACTAAACTTGCTATGAACTATTATGAACTGTTCTAGCCATATTCAAACTGGTTCAAAATCATTCTGAATAGAAATAAACTTGCAGAAGTTGCCAATTTGATTCTTCTTTCTTTATTATTCATGATAGAAAAATCAACTGGATCTAACTTACTAGTTTGATTGTTTTTCCTTTGTTATTGTTTTTAACTACAATCGAACATGTTTATAATCGTTTTAAACAGAAGTAGAATTGTAGAAGTTACTATAGTTTGATTCGACTTTCTTCATTGTTCTTGATAAGAAAATCAACTGGATCAAACTTATTGCAAGTTTGATTGTTCTTCCTTTATTATTGTTTTTAACTATACAATGAAACAGGTTCATAATCGTTTTGAACAGAAGTAGACTTGTAGAAGTTACTATAGTTTGATTCGTCTTTCTTTATTGTTCTTGATAAGAAAATCAACTGGATCAAACTTATTGCAAGTTTGATTGTTCTTCCTTTATTATTGTTTTTAACTATACAATGAAAGTGGTTCATAATCGTTATGAACAAAAATAAACTTGCAGAAGTTGCTAGTTTGATTCTTCTTTCTTTGTTATTCATGATAGAAAAATCAACTGGATCTAACTTACTAGTTTGATTCCTTTTTTTATTATTATTGAGAGGAGCTTAAACTTAAATCGTCAAAATTAACTTCATCAGGTAAAACAAAACTTGTTATGAACTATTCTAGCTGGTTCAAAATCATTCTGAAGAGAAATAAACTTGTAGAAGTTGCTAGTTTTTTATTCTTCCTTTATTATTCCTGAGATAGTCAAAAGGGACCCTCAAAATTATCTTCATCCAGCAAAACTAAACTTATTATGAACTGGTCTAATTATATTAAAACTAGTTCGGAATCGTTCGGAAATATACTTGCAGGAGTCAACTAGAATCATCACAATTATCTTCATTGTTTCATCTTTTATACTTCTATCTTCATGAAACTACAGAATCGATTAAATAGAAATATATTTGTAGATGTTAATAGTATTATCCTTGTGACAGGGTAGGCAAATATAGAATCCTTTGAAATATCTAAAATATTTTCTTTAATAGAACGTTTGTTATTCTTTAGCAAGTTAAATCAAGCGAGTTTACCGAACACCCTTTGGTCGTGTAACAACATAACGAGTCCATCTTGGTCAGCGATGT